CCCCCCGCCCCGCCCAGCCCCGCGCCGCTCCCTGCGCGCCCCTCCGCGCCGCTCCGCCACTCCTCCGCAGCCACCCGCGCACTTCGGACGGCGCCCACGGAGGCCGCGATGCTGCTGGAGCGGGTCCGCGCCGGTTCGGAGAAGGCAGCGGAGCTCTGCCCCTTCCCGCGGAGCCCAGGTGAGGGGGATGCGCGCAGATCTCCGCGTCCCCCCGCGGAGGCAGCGGCGGCTGCTCTGGGAGCCCCGGGCCCGGCCGAGCTCCGTCTGTGTCCCGGGGGCACCGTAGGGGCCGCGGTCGGGGCTGGCTGCGGGGAAGGGCGGCCCGACGGCACTGGGAGATCCGTCCCGCCCGTCCCGCTCCGTCCCGCCCGCCCCGCGCTCTCTCTCGCTCTCTCCTGCCTCGTCCCCGATATCAGAGCCCCCCTCGCTGCCCCTCATACGCTGCCAGCTCAGGTCCCCGTCGATCCCGGGGAAAAGCGGCGTTCGCGGGAGCTCTGCCCGGCCCGGCGGAGCGGCGGCTCGTGCCCCGGGGTCCCACCGCTCCCCGCTCAACGAGGACAGGGACGAAACGGGGACTTCCCGCTGCCCGACAGTTCCCTCCGACTGCGGGGACCCCCCGCGCCCCCCTGCCCGGCTCCCACTCGGCTGTTCCCCCCCTTTAGAAAAACTCCGTTAATTCTTCTCTTAAACTTTCTTTCGTCCGGTTGAACGAACGGGACCAGCCCTGGCGGGGCGGGGAGAACCGGGCTGCGCTCCCCCGGTGTGGCCGGGGCTCCGGGGCTCAACGGGGGGGCCCGAGCCGCGTTCGGGGCAGCGGGTCCGGTCCCGGATCGGGGCCGTCTCGGTTCTCACCAATATCGAAAGCTGTCGATGGGGTTTTAAAAAAGAAAATCAACGACGAGTCGGGGCGGGGGCCCCGCCGGTGTGCGGGGACAGAGGTGTCACCGTGAGCGGGACCGCCCGCGCCGCCCGGCAGCCGCCGTGAACGGGGCCGGTGTCCCCGGTCCTACCCCGGTTCGCCTTTCCGTGGCTGTCCCCGTGGGCTCTCCGCGGTGCGCGTTTGACCCGGAGAAACCGGGAGCTGCTCGTGCTCTGCAGGGGCGGAGGCGACACCGCCGAAATCGAGCCCCCGGTAGAACGAAGGACACCCAAACTCCGTTTTCCCGCAGGACACGACGCTCGTTCACGGCCCCGCGGTCCTGCGCTCCGTCGGGGCTCGGGGAGGCAGCGGGAAGGGCTCGCCGGGGCTTACCGTGGCCGAGGGCCGGTCCCGGGGGGTTCGCGCCTCCGCGGGGACAGGACCGTGGGGTGCTTTACCCGTGCCGGGGCAAATCCCGGGGTTCGCGGCTCACAACGAGCTCGGGGCAGCGGCCGGCGCTGCCTCCCCCGGCGCGACCCCCGCCCGCCTCCGGCCCCGTCGGGGTTCGTTTGCGGGCGCCCCGGAGCCGCGTCCCTCCCGCCGAGCGCAGCCGGGAAGGGGCGGCGGGAGGGGATGTGCCGCCGGCCCCGGGGGCGGGGGGGATTAAATACAGCGCGCCGCGATGCCCTCCCTGCCCGGCGCTTCAGAGCGGCACCGGCGGCGAGGGCCGGCGTCTAAAAATAACCCGCTTTAGCGAATTAAATCCCCGGCGCCGCGGGGGTGGCAGCGCCCGGAGCAGGGCACAGCAGCCGCTGATTTGGGGGGGCCCGGCGGGGGGAGAGCGGAGGTTCCGCGCCCCGCGGAAGATGCGCCAGAGCCCGCGGCCCGCCTGAGCGAGCGGAGCTGCCGCGGCCCGCGGATCGCCATGCAGCGTAAGAGCCGCGGAGCGGGCTGGACCGGGACATTGCCGGGCTGTGCCGTGCTAGCGTGCCCGCTGCCGGAGCTCCGGCCTGCCGCTCTTGGGGTTGTTTGTTTGGACGCGGTGAATTGTTGAGGATAACGATTATCACCTCCACTTCTTACCCCTGGGCACGGCGCTCCAGCGCCTATATCTACATAGAATTATCTTTACATGGAAATACTCTCGTGTCCGTACCCATCTGTTCCTGTACAGCCGTGTCATACATCTCTCTGCCTCTATTTGTACTGATGTATCTGTATTTATGTACCTCATATCCATATTTTCACCTGCTTATCTCTATCTATACCTATATACTGAAATCTATATATTTATGTCTATATATGTCTGTACATTTCGTTCTCTGTCTCCTGTATCTGTTTATTTTTATATCTCTATTTCTCCATAGCTGTACCCTTATCTCTTTCTGTGTAATCTCTGTCGGTGTCTAGAGAGGGATGGGACAAGACTGCCGCGTTTTTATTTTCACTGCAATTCTCGTAATTTTTGGCAGTTTGGTAGAACGGGGTAGCCCCACCCGGTTCGGGCTACCCTGCCGTTGCTCGCAGGTGAATTTTGGAAGTTTAGGAAAAGAAAAAAGAGCCCGGGATAATTACAGCTTTGCCGGCGGTTCGCTCGGGGGGTTAATTCCGTTTCCATCACTTCCCTTCTTGTTTATCCCGGTTCTCCTGGGCACTTCTCCCGGAGCGTGCTCGGCCCGGGCGTTCGCTGCTCTCCACGACGCCGCGACAACGAATTTGAACGAATAATGCTTTTTTTCGTGCTGTTCCTCGGGCCACCCCCGGGTCCGTCGGCGGTCGGCGGCAGCCCCGGGGCGGCGGGCCGGGCCGGGCCGGGCCGGTCGGGGAGGCGGAGGGGCCAGCAGGGCCAGCGGGGCTGACGGGGGCTGCCTCCCCGCAGAGATCCCGCTGTGCGCCGGCTGCAACCAGCACATCGTGGACAGGTTCATCCTCAAAGTCCTGGACCGGCACTGGCACAGCAAGTGCCTGAAATGCTCCGACTGCCAGACGCAGCTGGCCGAGAAGTGCTTCAGCCGCGGGGACGGCGTCTACTGCAAGGAAGACTTCTTCAAGTGCGTGGGGAGGGGACGGGGGGCGGCCGGGGCCGGGCGGGTGTCACAGCCCGGGCGCGTTTGGGGTTCAGCACCGGGACAGCGGCACCGGAGCAGCACCGCGGACAGCGCCGGGCCCGGCGGGGACCGTGCCCGGCGTCCCCAGCTCAGCGGCCGCCGCTTGTCCCCCATGCTCAGGCGCTTCGGGACGAAGTGTGCCGCCTGCCAGCAGGGCATCCCCCCGACCCAGGTGGTGCGCCGGGCCCAGGACTTCGTTTACCACCTGCACTGCTTCGCCTGCATCGTCTGCAAGCGGCAGCTGGCCACCGGCGACGAGTTCTACCTCATGGAGGACAGCAGGCTGGTCTGCAAGGCGGACTACGAGACGGCCAAGCAGAGAGGTACCCCTGCCCCGTCCCTTCCACCCCCGAGGGCAGCAGGGGGGCGGCCCGGGGCGCTCCTGCCCTCCGGGACAGGCTCACACACCGGGCGGGAGGGTGCCGGGAGAGCCCGGGGAGGGTCGGGGGTCCCGCTTCCCCCGTAGTAACTTCACCCCTAACTCGCCCCGTGTCGGCAGAGGCTGAGTCTACGGCCAAGAGGCCCCGCACCACCATCACGGCCAAGCAGCTGGAGACCCTCAAAAACGCTTATAACAACTCGCCCAAACCGGCGCGGCACGTCCGGGAGCAGCTTTCGTCGGAGACGGGGCTGGACATGCGGGTGGTGCAGGTGAGAGCGGGCTCCGGGCGGGCCGGGCCGGGGGCGGCGGGCGGGGAGCGGCCCCGCAGGCTCGGAGCTGCCCGGCGTGCCCCGCTCGCAGGTCTGGTTCCAGAACCGCAGGGCCAAGGAGAAAAGGCTGAAGAAAGACGCGGGGAGGCAGCGGTGGGGGCAGTACTTCAGGAACATGAAGCGATCCCGGGGGACATCCAAGTCCGACAAGGACAGCATCCAGGAGGAGGGGCCCGACAGCGATGCCGAGGTTTCCTTCACAGGTCGGTCCCCGCAGCCCCAGCCGGGCTTTGCGAGCTCGGGCTGTGTCCTCCTGCCGTTCCCCGGCTGCTTTCACCCCCCTCGGGGCCGCGGTCGGAATTTTCGGCATAAACAGTGGGTGACACCGAGGGGCCGGGGCGGGAGAAGGGCAGAGAGGGATTCACCGGGGTGGAAGCGGAGCCGCGGCAGAGAGGGGCAGCCGGGCCCGGGAGCAGCGGGGGAAGCTCCGCTCTGCCCCGGCCGGGCCCGAGAGCGGTGGGAGGAGCAGGGAGAACTCCCCGGGCAGCGCTGCGGTGTCAGAGCCGCTGCTCAGACACGGCCTTTTCTTGGAAATACAAAAACCGGGAAGCCCAGAACCACAATATTTCTATGGGAAAAAGAGTATGATTTTTTTTTAAAAAAATATATATATTTTTAATCTTATTTAGGGATGGTTTTATTTGTGCAGTTGCTCACTAGGACTCTTCAGTCCTGTGGGAGCTGTTCCTGTGCTGTAAAAAGGAAATTGTTGCCTGTTAGGCGGCTTCTGCAGCAGAGTGTCCCCTTTTTGGAGCCGAGATTTCTGGTGACAAACCCAGAGCAGACTAAGAGCAGCTTACCCCGTACTCTGCAGACCTGCAGGGGCAGGGACAGGGCCCCGGGCCGGGTTACATTTGCAGGAACGTGTTCTACACAATCCCAGCTCCATCCCAAATTTTTGTATCATTTTCAGGAATGGGAGAGAAACTGAAATGCAAACCTCTGTGTATATTTACACAGACTGTGTATTTATAAACACACACTTTTTCATCTCAGCTCCTCTCCCGTGCTCCTAAAAACTATTTGATTTTCGAGTCTGTTTATGCACACTGTGTATCAGCTCATTAAATATGAATAGTCCATAAATAATAACTAAAAAATGTCTAACAATTATTGAGAGCTCGATGCCACAAACAGGTTTGTATCCCCGGCAACAGAGCAGCTCTCACTGTCCATAAAGCCACCACAGAATACAAACAATTTTAGCTGGGAACTTTAAAAATATTGCTCATTTTTCAGGAGTGTTTTTAAGCCATACAAATACATGCTGTGTTCCTGTGTTTTCATTAGCCTGTTCCCGAGCAGACAAATATTTTAATTTAATATCTCTTTTCCTGAGCAATGGGAGATTTATCTTGCATTGGTAGCTCCTAAAAGTGGTATCAAAATTCAAAAAGCCAAACTAATTCAATAAACCTCAAAACCAAATAGAAACAAAAGGTGGAAAGACATTGAATTCACTTGCCCTCTAAAGAATGACTTTAAAATCACAGTCTTAAATTTTACTATGTACTTTTCATGCATATTTTTAAAATACAAGATGTATTAGGTGTTTGCACTCAGAAAAAAAATATAATCCCATGGCTGCCTATGAAGATTTATCAACAAGGATGGGAATAATAAGGAATTACAAGTGGAAGAGCGTGACTGCTCAGCTCCCATCCTTTTAATCTATTTATACCCGGAGCTTTCAGCAGTTCCTGTGCGACCGGTGCTCATCCAGTAAAACCCCTCCTTTTCCCTTTCAGATGAGCCCTCCATGTCCGAAATGAGCCATTCCAATGGGATTTACAGCAATCTCAACGAAGCCTCTCCGGCGCTGGGGCGGCAGGCTGGCACCAACGGGAGCTTTGCCCTGGAGCACAGCGGGCTCCCGGCTCAGGACCAGTACCACGACCTGCGCTCCGCCAGCCCCTACGGCATCCCCCCGTCCCCGGCGTCCCTGCAGGCACTGCCAGGCCACCAGCCCTTAATCTCCAGCTTGGTTTACCCAGATAACGGCTTGGCCATCATGGGACAGAGCGGACCAGGGGTGCCCCAGCCCATGAGGGTCCTGGCCGGGAATGGACCAAGCTCCGACCTCTCCACCGGCAGCAGCGGGGGGTACCCGGATTTCCCGGCCAGCCCGGCCTCCTGGCTGGATGAGGTTGACCACGCTCAGTTTTGATACTGGGGCAGTGGGAAGGGAAAGGACTCGGTGCTGTGAAGTGTCACCTGCTCTTGGAAAGGACAGAGGGACGAGCCGTGAGTGCCGAGCGGGGCAGGAATGTGGCACGGAGGGAGCGGAGGGGATTCCAGAGATGACCCTGGCATGATGGTGGTGATGATGATGGTGGATAAAGGCCCTGGTACTGCAACCATTGGCACCCGGAGCGTCCCAACCGAACTGATTCTCGTGTCTTTACCAAACACCAAGACTTGTGCTTTACAGATTTAATATGAGGTATTTTGCGTTTTGTTGTCGGTGCATTCTCCAAAGCAAGGACTTGCTCCATCACCCATCCACACCGAAACATTTTTAAGGGAAAATAAAATCCTCATCCACGGTGAAAGGTGTGACAATGTCTATATTTCTATAGGAGAAATGTTCATAGTGAATCACTTCAGAAATCCATGGTAGGAAACTTCTCTGTTCTTCCAACAGATTTTTTTAAAAGTGCACCAATGCGGTATGTTTTGTTTTACTTTGAATTTACATTCACTTTTCTAAAACAAAATGCTCTTTAATATGCCAATCATTTATCAACAGCCCTCTTCCTCTGTAAAATGAAAATCGTATGTTAATTCTGCTTCTCCCCTTTTTAATTTGTAGATTGCTAGGTTGACTCTTCCATATAAGCATTAAACCGTGAATAGATGTATTTATTACCAAGTAATTCCACATTTATCACGAGGTCAAGAGGTGAATTTTCTTGACCCAGGGACACCGGTGGTGGATCTGGGTTGTGGATCTTATGCTTTTCCTTGAAATTTCTTTGTATCAGTTTTACTGCAAAGTGTCTCAAAAATCACCCTGATGTCTTGTTGCCAAAAACCTTCTCAGGGGGTCGGGTTTGAGATGAGCCCTTCCCCAGGCACTGCTGGAGTGAGCACCCCCTTCTCTGGGGACACGTTCCTGCTCCAGGCATTTGTGTATTTCCACAGATATCGTGCAAGCTGATTGTGAGGAAAGGCAAGACAATATGTATATTGTTATCTGTAAAAATTATGGAATTAACTGTAGATTATGTGGATGTCCAGTGTCTTTTATTTATATTCTCGCTCTCTCTCTGATGATCAAATACTTCAAGATTACAAATAAATTTGTCAGCTAAACTTTACATAGTGTTTTGGTAAATTCACATCAATATCAGTAAATAAAAAACCTGAAAGTCAAAGCTCTTAAAACTCGATGCCTGTTGAAATATTCCCTTTCAATAGAGGAGCAAACCCTCTATTGGAGAGGATTGAAATGTAGAAATGTAGAAATGGTTTGGAACAAAAAAAAAAATGAGGATATGGGAGGTTGTCAGCCCTTGGGAGAACAGGATTGCTCTGGCTTTGATCATATTTTTGATGGGAGATTGTTGTTTTTCAACATTTGTGGCAAAGCAACAGGAAACAGCAACAGGAAATAGAGTCTGATGTTGTCTGTCTGCAGAAAGTTGTGAACGTGAAACACGGATATGGAAATATTTCAATCAGAAAGAAAGGGAAAAATATCCTAAGGGAGTCAGTTTGACCAAATATATATACATATATAAATATTTATATTTACACCTGAATGCATATCCAGATAAGCACACACATCCACGTGTCCGTGGTCACACTGCTGGGGCACAGTGCAGGGCAGTGCTGAGCTCTCTGGTTCGAGGATCTGAGGACAGACACTTTTTAACACACCTGAGCTCTGAGGTTCTCACTCTCCTGGGAAGTCAGGGAATATTTGCACCGAGATTTTCCACGTGCCCGTGGGGGACACCTGGAGCATCCTGGCTTTTATTCCTCACCTTTTCCAAGGGACACGTGGGCAGTTTGAGGGCTGTGCTGCCCACGATGCCCTCGCCCCCTCCTTCCTTCCCTCCCTCCTGGCACCCCAGGCTCTGCTCTCAGGGAGCACAAGGAGCCTGCCCAAAGCAGAGCAGGTCCATGGGCACGGCTTTAGGGAAGAATTGCTCATCCAACAGAGAAATTCCCTTTTTCTCTCCAGGAGATTCACTCTGAGAGCCGTGGCAAGGACAGGAGAAACCCCAGGCAAAATTTGTGTCCTTCAGTTCTGAGCTCCTGAGTCCAGAGCTGGGCTCAGCACCTTCTCCTTCCTTCTCCAGAAGTGAATAATAAAGAGACAACTGTTGCTGCCAGCCTGTAGTTACCCCACAGGGATATTTCTTACGGAGTAAATAGAAAACTGTGGGATTTAAAACAAGCAGACTGCAGAACTTCACTGAAAGAGAAAAGAAGAGTTTGTATTTTCAAGAATTCTGTATCTAGAAATGCCCTCAGCAAATCTGGGAAGGTGTTTTGCATCAAAATATTTTGGCAGTTCAAGTATTCATAATATTTTCATATAAAAGACTAAAAAAAAAAATACTTTTAAATACTCTTATTTCCTAAAAATGAAGAATTAACAACAGAAAGACAGAAATGCAGTTGGTTTTAGGGTAATTCTGTTGTTATAAAAACAATCTAATAACTGTAGTAATTGAACCTGTGTTTTATAGATATTTTTCTCCTTGTTTCCCTCCCAGTAAATAACAGGTGCTGTTGTTCCTCTGCCCCTGGGAATTCCCAGGGGATGGCTGAATTTAAGAAAGGAAGAAATGCAAATCTCCCCCTGCCTTTGTGCTTTGCTCAGAAAGGCAGAACAGGGCTGGAAGTTGCTGCTCTGAACAGGGAGAAGAGCTCTGAGTGTCCTGAGCTCAAATTCAGGGATTGCATTTCAGCCTCTCCTTTCAGGGCCGAGGCTCAAGGATTCCATTAATATAAATGCTTTCTTCCCATTAAAAAGAAAACCAATTTGAAAGAGGCAAATAAAACTAACACTGTCCAACTGACTGACAGCTTGTAAAACCCAGGCAGAGTTAGGAAGAGGAGGTTTGCACTGCTCAATTTGCAGGTGGCTTTACAACCTCCACTGATTTCCATCAGTGCATGACAGGGGAGGCAGGAAATTTTTTTGTCTTCTCAATGAGGAAAATCTACTGTATCAATTTTTTTTCCCCCCCCCAAACAGCATATTCACCTTTGTGCCTAAACTTGTGTTCCCTACAGAAATATTTAGATTTTATTCAAATAGTAGAAGCAGTGTGGTTTTTTTTCTTATTTGAATTTCCCATGTGAGGCCAATGAAACCAAATCCCTCGTGCCCAGGGGACAGACACCTCCTCTCCTACCCAGTCTGATCCAGGGGAGGAGGTGACAAAAGGGGACCAAGATCTTGGTCACAGAGCTTGGGGACCTCAGTGCCCCTTTTGGAGGTGTGTGCCAGGTTAACCCCTCATCCACAGGGAGCAGGGAAGGTGGACACGGCCAGCCCATCCTCAGGTCCCTCTGGTGCCTTCTCCCAGATGTATCAGAGCATCTGAGCAGAGGTGTTCCCACTGCCTTCATGTCCTTCTTGGCCTCCCCCTGCCCAAATCACCATCCTCAGGAACAAGGCAGGAAAACCTCTGGATCCTCCTTCTGGAGCTCAGGAAGAGCTGCTGGGTAGCACAAGGGACAGTCCCAGAGATTTGGTCTCAGTAAATGTTCCAGCAAAGGTGCTGCCTGTCCACAGGAAACTTCATCACCAGCTGCCCACAGCTCAGCAAAAGCAAATTCCACACGTTTTTTAGCTCCCTGGTTCTTCTTCCACTGAGGTCTGAGGAGTGTCCCTGTCTCTCCAGAGAGGGCAGAGCCAGTGTCAGGCTGGACACAAGTCCTGCATCCCACTCCCATCCAGGCTCTGGCCTCTTCCAGCGCCTCTGCAGAGCCTGGAAAAAGGCTCCGAGTCAGCTGGAGGCGAGTAAATCATTCCTGACAGCTACATCTCTACAGGGCAGTTAGAATTAATGTAACAATTTGGCGTTTAATGAAGCAACAACATGCTGGGCTGCAGAGAATAGCTGGGACCTGCTGCAGTCATCTTCTAATCCCTGAGGGACCCAAACGGCAGCGGCTCCATCAGATGCCGACTCGTCAGGCTGCGCAAACGGCCGGGAGGGGACAGCGAGGGACAGCGGAGTGGCCGGGAGCTGGCAGCCCCTCCAGCTGGGGGACAGCCAGCATCCGGCAGCTGAGCACGGCCCCAGGGAGCGAGGCGAGCCTGGAGCCCAAATCCCCTGAGCTCGGGGCTGGGCTCAGCTCTGGGCAGCGGGAGCATCCCCGGGGATGCCCCGGCATTGCCTGCCCAGCTCTGCCCGGAGCTCGGGGAGTGCCCGGCCTGAGTGGGGTCACAGAGATGCTGGAAAATGTTGTTGTGTAAAAAAATATTTTGTGGAGCTTGTCTAAGAGTAGAGAACTAAATCAGAATTGGAGGGGGGAACCGGCAGAACAATATGTTTTCTAAATAAAAATCAGCTCGATCAGGTGCTCTGCACCCCAAAGGCAGATTTCTGCACAAGTTGCAGGTATTCAGCCCTTTACAGGATAAGGCCTTTCAAAAACACTCCCTGCACGGAGGAGTGGGAGAGGGGAATGAATGCAAATGACTTTGGAGACAATCTCCCATTTCCCATGTATATACACACGCTCTCAAAGCACCGCAGGCTGCAGCAGCTTGGATGCTTTAAAATAAATCATGCGGTGCTTTTTTTTTTTTTTTTTTTTTTTTTTTTTTTTTTTTTTTTGCTTGCTTGCTTTTAAATGAAAGCACAGCACAAAACAACATCCCCTCAGTCCCAACCCACCCGTGCTGGAGCTCCTCTCTGGGGCTGGCTGGTGTGTGTGTGGCCATAAACCTCCCCAGTTTTGTTGTGAAGCCTCACGGTCAGCGGCTTTAAGGGCTTGACAGGTTTATAAAGTGCTGAGTGTCCCCCAGGGACGGCGGCACTGTTTGCAGGGAAGATGAAGCGTGCCATATCCAGCTGGTCTAACAAGGCAGCGGGAAATCTAAATTAATTCAGGAATCACTTCTGTTTTGCCCAGGGAGGATGTTGTTCTCAATCTATGGAAGCAGCCCATTGGAATACTCATTAACAGCAGGGATGGAG